ATAGGGAGAGAGAAAGAGAGAAAGAAAGAGAGTGAGAACGAGACGAAGGGAGGACAGCAGAGCGAGAGTTCAATGACCGTTAATCGTCAGCCGATTGGAAACGGGATTCACGCGTATCTCGGCGTTTCAGGCCGCGACGCACGCGAGTCGCGAACAGAGCTAATGCACGAAATCATCGCATCAGAATCGATTGACGATCGCTAGATAGTCGCAAGCCGCAGTTAGCACCAGGAACACCTGCTCGACACTCAGATTAGCAACCGGAGGTGGCCAGTGGGGTGCGAAAAAGATTGTCAACGAGACGTCTGGCTATCAAGCCAACTGAATTGAGGCCCCATTGTTCCTGAGCCGGACTACTGAACATACTCCTTGCGAATTTGTTGAATGAGCCTCTACTCACATATTTCTTTGTCTTCTGTCGATCGTCATCGAACATTCACCGGTCCTATCGAAGCGACGGCACACTTCACTCGTCCGTCAGTTTGATCGGAACCACCCCGTCGTCGACGAGAACACACACTCGCGTCTCTCATTCGATCACCGCGGCGCTTGTCCTGCGTGGCATGCTCCCGATCGAACGATCTTTGGTGGGTTCCTCATCCGTGAATCGGAGAAGTCTTAACACAACGATCTCAGGATTTACACCTCGCCAGTCCTTCCTCCGCTGCCGCCCGACAATTGACGGAAAATTTCCATTTGGTCGCGAACGGTTCAATCTAATGGTCTAGTTTCACCAGTCATTATCGTCCTCGTCGAATATAATCACCGCGGATATTCATCCCCGTAACCATAACCCCGCATTATCTCGGCCAAGTTCTCGTTAACCCGAACGTCATGCTGCACCGTAAACTCCCGCCGATCTCCAAACTTTCATTAACGTTCCACTGCCTATTTCCCGGGTGAACGGAAAGACCGTTAACCATAGAAAGATCCTCGCTAAGGTATTGCGAAACTCCCTTTGTCTCTTAATCAAATTTACCTGGTTTTGATCCAGTTCTCGTCATCCACTCTTCCCAACGCTTCGCTTAAAAAAATGTCCCGAGAAGCATGCGCTGGAGACGCTGTCTCTCGAGTGTGTCCTCTTCCGAGGAAAAATGTTTAGCATTCGATAATTCCTACAGGACACCCCGCGGGTGGCAGGCGACGCAATCTTGAGTGGTTCTCCGTTAGATAAATAAGGGTGGTGGCGAGCACTTCAACCCCCTGTCACACTTGGTTAATCCTGTCGCGGATACCCTCATATACTTCCCCGACATATGGTGTCGTGGATTATCGGCAGGACGTTGGTTCTCCTGGTTCGAAAGGACGAAACACGTTCCTCGGAACGGACGTCCGGTCCGCGGGGTGCACACGGACACGCGACGAAGAACACCTCCCCGTTTTTCGTACGCGCGGTCCGACGATCGCGGAAGACGCGCGGGCACTGGCTGCGTCAGGACGATCTTCCACCCCCGGACGAGTGCGCGAACCGGTGCCGGGAGGGTGGCGAATAGCTTTGCGAGGGGTGGCCGCGCAAGAAAGAGAGACAACGGGGTGGCGAGTTGGCCGTGGTGGGGGAAAGAGAGAGAACGGAGACCGGCCGCGCGCACGTAACGCATGGAATCTCTGGATCGTGGCTGCCTTTTTGGGGAAGACACCCTGACGATCAGCCAAAGTCGACTGGTATCTGGGTTAGTGGACCCTCGCCTACGACCCTGACCATGCCACGAATTAAACCAGTCGAAATCTCCTGTCTTTTGACACGGTAACAGCGCGAGCGAGGTCTTGTTTCGTTATTTCATGCTGGGTAGAATTTATGAATTTGTTTCGATATCTACAATGTTTTATTGATATCTGATAGCGTACATCAATCGTCATGTTAATCTCCTGCCCTGCGATTTCTCAACTATGATCGATATAACTATTTTCTCGTGAATAATTTGTTGGAAATAGAGAAAAATTGTAGGGATATTCTATGTTCGTATTTGATTTAAAGTACATATTTAATAATATTTAATTTGACTTCAGAAGAATTGAATAATATTTATGCTTGTTAAATTCGCTTTAAAGTCTTCATCGCGAGTCTGACACGTTATTACAAGGCAAGGGGTTAACACGTATTCAATAAGAATTTGTTGCACCGATAGTGGACAACGGTCAGCATTGTTTGATAGTGTTTATGGAAGCGATATGTGTTATATGAATATAATTGAATTTTTAAATGATCACGTATATTTCTTTCTATTTTATAGGAGTTTTAGTTCTCTTAACTTAGATTTCGAAAAACAGAAGTTATTTGTTTATTCACTGCATGATCCGAATGATGGATTTTCGTTATTTTCCTAGTAAATATTATTTGTGAAATTATGAGATTTGGTTATCCGATTCGATATACGTTGACATTTGTTGTTTTCGCAGAAGTATTTTTGCATACTCTTTGTATATTTGACTATGAGACATCAATATACATGGAGTGTATATTATTAAATTAATACATGAACAAATGAAGCAATTGTTTCTTATTCGTACGAAATAGATATTTCACTGTTATTATACTACTAGTACTTTTAGAGAATAAGGTACACCTGACCCTCGATTTACGCGAAAATCCGTTCCACGTGGGTTCGTTTTACCTAAACGAAAATCGCGTAAATAGAGCCTGTCTGTACAAAAGAACACAAAGTATTGAAGTAAAAAGCTGGTATAAGTTTTAGAAATACATATTTATTTCACATAGCTTAACAAAAGAAATAATAATAATGACATTTTAGAAAACAAAAGTATATTTTATTCAGTGTTACTAAATTCAGATCGCGTAAATTGAGATCGCACGTAAAAACTACCGCGTAAATAGTGTTCCAATTTACGGTGTAAAAAAGAGACTCGCGTGAAAAAGTCCGTGTAAATCAAGGGTCAGTTGTATTTTTATTTAAGTCATGTGTTCAGAAAGGTCAATTTTGAAACTTCCTTGAGTGCATACAATGGTGTTTACAAGCAGTAGAAATGGTACATCATGAACAGATGCGTTAATCCAATTCTATATAATAGCACGTGTATCTACCGGATGTTCAAACTCGATTATTTCGAAAGTGACGGAAAGAAATTTTATTCTTTTACTACCACTTATTTTTTCATGAAAAATAATTTCCTTCTTGATAGTACTCACTTCCATGCATCTTATAATAAATATTATTGAAATTACCATAAGAGTATCAGTTATTTGAATTTGTGATTATAACAAAAGTTTCTTTAAAATTAACCCTTTGCGGGTGAATGTTGACATTCCGGCGAAATCAGATGTTCATACTTGGAAGACTAAGTCACGAACAAATGATTTAATTAGTGAAACAGCAAGAGATCGGTACGTAGTTTCCTGCTTTCCTATTAATTCAGCAGTCGATATATAATTTAATTTCATCTGCCGAAGGTTTTGTACATTTCAAAGAATCTTCTTTCGCAAAGAATTAGAACTTAAAATATTCAAAATTTTCCAATCTCAAATGTATATTTTGTAAAAATTTGAAGAATATCTATTCAATATTTAACTCATAGATATCACTAGTTAGTTTCATGCATCAACGGTTTTACACGATTATTTCAAATTCAGCTGCTGTTTATTCGAAACAGTGTATTCAAACCGAAACCACTTAACTTTTTAAGCGCTCAAGTATTCTTACCAAAGGAAACAATCACAGTTTATAAAATTTGAATGTCCTTCCGCTCCGTGGAAATGATCAACAATGTATAAAGTGCGTAAACATGTTTACCATGAGACCGAATCCCAAGGGTAAGTAAAACATAGCACACAAAGTCGCGGGGTATCTGCAGGGTTCATTATTAATGCAGCTATTCGTGGATCGCCTTTGACACGCCGGACGTTAAGAGCTTTCCAAAAGAATGTCATCCTTACGAAACCCAAGTGCAGCTTCCAAACAGAAAATTATTTAAAATTCGCATGCCCGCCGGCGCACTGTGGCCGGTTTCCTTGGAGCCTTAATTGGTCCATTTCCAGCGTTGAAAGAGGTCCGAAGAAATTCAAGTGGCGTAAAAGCAGGCTGCTTTTGATCCTGCGCCGGATTCAAGGACACGGGCCAAGCTCGATGAAAGAAGTATGTATCGCCGGAGAACAAGAAAGAGGCTCTTTTAGCGCTCGAAAGGCATTCAATAAGTTCTTGCATTCAAAGCACGTTAGGCACCTTATTGAGCCGCCGAAGTCGTGTTTCATCCGGATTACTAGGCTTACTCGACCATGTCGTGACTTTGCTTCCGCACAAAAGTCCGGCGAGCTCCAGCGAGACTTACTCTTTCTCTACTTAGCGTTCCTTGCTCCGATACAGCTCTAATCGAAGGTTAATTCAACCAGGGGTAGTTTCGTGAAACAGAGCAGCAATCTCTTTTTGTATTTGACAGATCTGCTGCCAAGTAATTGCTTGGTCACATTTATTTGAAAGACTTATTATTATGTAAAAGACATTTGAATAAAATACATGAGGTTTCATAAAGTTTAGAAAATAGGTGTTCCTTTAAGAGATAAATATGTGTATTTTTATTTCATAGAAAATAAGATTTTGGCTTTGGGGAAATTTGTAAGGCTACTGACATGCGAAGTCTTTTATAATAAATTTCAAGCTTATGATATTAGTGAATTAGAATGTAAATTAATAATATTATATGCAAGAAGTCATGAGAAATTGTTATATTGTGAATTATTTATTGAAATTATATATTGCGGAGTGCATTGTTTGGAATACATCGCACTATAACTCCTTGTCATTACATTATTTATATTACATTGATAGGACGATCGATCTATACCTCTAATCGCCAGAACAAATTGGAACTGCGTCAATGTGCACAAATACGAGACAGGTTATTATGAATTCATTGATCATATGATAAGTGCATTACAATATTGTAAAAACACACATCAACCATGCTTCAATTTTCATGCAATAAAGAACAAAAAAAGGTCCTCCAGAAAGGAAACAGTTAGTAAAAACTTTTCACTAATCAACAAAAGAAATCATAAAGGTTTAACAATCACATCTTCCTAGACTATATTCTATCGATTCCCAGATCGATTCCAAAATTCTTTAGCCTGGAAAAATGGAATAGAAACTCTCCTTGCAGCTGTCAAACAACAAATTCGGTACAGGAGAATATTTTTCAGTCAGAGAAACAAGTGGAATTAATGAAAGAGCAACGAATAATGCTGGGACGGTGAGTTCGATCGCAGTCGAGCCATGAAGCCAGGCAAAAGAGACGAGTAGGGCGCCCAGCCAGCAGAGCAAGAAAACGAGAGGACGGGAGAGTTGGACGGAGACAGAAATTCATGTGACGCGATTGGCGTGAGAGAGAGGGTGAAAGCGTGCAAGTCGTCGCCTCCTTCCGACACCCCCTGGAGTACCGAAGATACCATACAGAGAGCCAAAGTCGCTGTATCTGGGTTAGTGGACGTCGACCCTGACCACTTCCTACGCAAAGAGGATTGAAATAGACTCGCGTTTATCAAGCGTTTCGTACTTACATAACCAAGCGAGCCAGCATCGGTCACCATGGAAATCACACCAACGATTTCCGCCGCTGGACTTCAATTTAAAAAATTGGTTAAAAACCCTCTGCGATTCGACGCCAAGGCGGACTTAAATTTCAGTTTCATTTCAAATAGTTAAATGCTTTATATTATATTATAATTAATCATAGTGCCATCATTATATCGTATACAAACCATTCATTTGTCCGAACGATTAAATTCACGAAGGGAAAAACAAAATAATTTGATGAAATTACAAAGACAATATTTTATCAGCTTTTAATATAATTATTCGTAATACTATAACTATGGTATATACCACTACAAGCCATTCATTTGTCGATGCAATTAATTAAGTTAATTAAATTAGATAAGATTAATCTGTTAACTGTGGAATTTAATTTCAAAAAACGCTCGTTTTGCGCGCAATAAAATTCTAAGGTATAATTTAATGAAAAACCAAAGCAAAACAAAGAATTACATGTTTATATGAAAAAATAAATAATTGATCGTTGAAATGATTAGTATCATTTTAAGCTTTAAGATGACGTATATACTCGTCAAACGTAGTTAACTGATTAAATGTTTTAGCATTAAAATTTGAAAACATTCGATGATGTTAATCACTTCGTCAAATATTCACGTAGCAAATATACTTAAACAAATGATTAGAACGCTACATTAAACGGCGATTGAATTAAGTAACTGCATGAGGTTAATACGATAACCAGTGAATTGTAAAGGGTTGAATCACTCGGTACTTGAATATTTCTGGCCATCTGGGGGAAAACTTTCGTAGTGATAAAGTTTCCTTTCTAAAGCGTTGGAAACTGAGCCACTGTGGTTCTGTATTCGTTAGACCCGAGACTGGGCACAACTTTTTCACTCGGCAAGCAGTCCCAGAGGTTCTGGAGCCTGGGTTCTTGCACCCGATCGAGCAGCGTGAATGGCGGCTGGTA